CTCCGTCATCAGGGCAATGAGTATGAAGATTTCTGTCTTCTGGGTTGTTGCGCTGTGTAGTATTCATCGCCCTGATGACGGAGGCAGTATGACCTCTGAAACGTTGGTTAACATCGACCAGACTACACAGCGCAACAACCCAGAAGACGGAAATCTGGTATGTGACTGTTTATAGACACTATAGTGTGAAACTTAATGGTGTGTTTTTACACTGTTAAAGGTATATAATTTTGTGTATACTTTTTAATATTTTAGAATCAAAAGCGATACCCCAGGAATCAGCACACCGTCGAAGTACTGAAGAGCTGTGGGATGAATTTGGACCACAGATTTCTGCTGTACTTCAGAATGATGTGAATGTTCCAAGTGATGTCATACCTTTCGATGCAGCTTCTGACAGAGACATGGATGTGCAAAAGTAAGTGACATAATAACCAGACCAATGAGAATTTTTGGTATTTTCTAGAAAATTTAAGATTGTGACGGTGGGTCATCATGTATTTGGCTGAATACAGTATTTTGTTTGTTTCGTTTGCACCCATTGTGTTTTATTACACCTTTGTTTAGTGATTTTGTAACGTATGTCTCCTTGGGATGATCCTAAATAATGGTTGGGTGCTGAGAGAGGGAACTGTTGATTTTACCGGTCCGTTCCATTTTCCTGCTGTCCGTCTCATTTACATTATGTGATGAATATTGTGTTCTTGACATAAGCATGTGACAGAGAAATATGTGTAGATGCTGAAATGTGCTTAATACTATTGTGTATATTTATTCTAGGGTTGACGCCATGTGTAAGATTCAGACACTTCTTCGTAATCAAGCGTTTGAGGAAGCAGTAGGTCTACTTCGTTCCTCAAGGTATTTTTGCTTCAATTTCGTTAAATGTAATAATTTGAAATGGGATAGGCCTAGCTTATTTTTTTAAATGTTTTCTATTTATTTAAAGACATACTAAGTAGTTATTACACAGAATATATGAAGTTCTGAACTTCTGAAGTAATCATATAGGGTACGTAAGAATGAGCTATCTGTCCACTTATATTGAAATTAAAATAAAAGTACAATTAAATCGTTTAAATAAGAAATTAAACTAGTGGTTAGTGAATTTTTGTCTGGCTACTCTCCTTTCTTTATCGTGAAAGTTCTTTCCATTCCGAGGTGTATATATGTGTATGCAACTGTCGTAAAATTTCATGTCATGAATATTCATTTGCATCACACAGTTTGTAGATCTGTATTGTATACCATTTGTTCTTTCTTTGGTCTGGAAACAAATTCTACCTTTAACTTTTATCTTATGTGAGAACCGTGTGCAGAGCTTTTAGATTCTAGTACCCCATTACACAAGAGACTCGTACGCTGTGCTTTGTCTCTCAGTGGAACACATTCCAAAACGTATTAAATTTTCTTTTACATACCTGTTTCGTGAGATTTCTTCTGGTTTCAAAACCTACCAGCACTCAATGCGTCACATTTTGTATTTTTGTGGTGCGCTTCAAACATCAATACAGAGCCCCACAGTACACTCCTTGCATGGTATTTGCACTTGTGCAAAACAGGCTCAATGACTCACTCTAGAGCAGCGTTTCTCAACCTATGGTACGCGTACCACTGGTAAGTAAGAAAATTAGAAGATAATATTAGCATAAATAAGTTTTCCCTGAACTCATTTGGTTAGTGGTGCATTTAGATTTCATTTTAGGCTGATATACAACAAATCTGTCTTGAGGGAAGGTTAGCAATCTGTGCATAATTATGCTTACCATTAGAAACACTGTATGTAAATGGTAATTCCAGAGAACAGTCCTTGAGTTTGAAAGGTACACAGATGAGTTAATTAAGCACTTTGCCAAGAAGATGTGCATGTATAGCTCCACACATTTTTATACTTTGCATAAGATGGAGGTTAATGTTGCATCTCCTTATAGGAAGAGCCCCCCAAGTACCCATAATATGTCAGTCTGGGTCGGCCTAAGTTGTCCTTCTTCATGCTTTGTTTTAACTATTATTTTATTGTTATTGCTTAACCTTATAAAATCTGATTACAGGGAGGTTTGGCCAGAAAATGATAGCTTTGGCAGCGCAGGCTCGTCATCTGAAGAAGAATTCGTAGCATTAAGAGAGATCTTCATGGCTGACATCCAAAGTGAGTACAAAGAATATTATCAGTTTAAATCAGGGTTTAATTACACACTGAATTGTAAATTAACATTTGCATGAAGAAACTTAATGGAAAGATGGATTTTACAAGACAAATGTTGGTGAGACTATAATGTCAGATGATATTTTAGGCACAGTTTGTTGAGATATAAATTACATTGGCTGAGTCATATTAATTCCGAGATTTTGTAACACCAAGAAGTAAAGGTCATAAATAAGTATGGAACTTGCAGTCTGTATGCATAGCTTCTTCCATATTTAACTATAGATTGATATGCGTAGTAGAATAAGATGTGTAAACAATCTAAAACTTCTTGACGATGGTGAAGAGTCAATTGAATAAAAATTTTCTTGGATAAGAAAATTTTTATTGAAGATTTCTGTCTTCTGGGTTATTGCGCTGTGTAGTGAGCCAATGGGAGCAGGTATGGGAGTGGACCAATGGTAGCACGTGGGCGAGAGTGGGACTGCTTATAAATCCAACTCCTCACACCCTATTGGCATATTCATCGCCCTGATGATGGAGGCAGTATGACCTCTGAAACGTTGGTTAACATCGACCAGACTACACAGCGCAACAACCCAGAAGACAGGATTCTTCATACTCACCGCTGTGAGAACCTCAAGTCTTACAAAATTTTTATTCAATGTGTAAACAAGTTGAGAAACAAACATTTCTTAAAGTACATTAAACATAACATATCTTACAGTGTAAGGCAGTATCTGCAGTGCATGTAATCGTGACTATGGACCACTTGGATAAAGCCAAAGAATATAACATAAAATAATGGAAAATACGAACACGTCTTACATTTTAAATTGTTTGTTGTTAAGACATTACCCAGTAGTAAATATTTTCCAACTAGGTTTCATATTCATCACAGGGAATTTTCTTCTAGAATGTGGCATTCCCTGCCATTGCTTTATTGTACATCTCACATGAGCAATAAAAGAATGTTTATGGTATCAGTACAGAAGAATTGGAATGTAAAAATAACAACAACAGTAAGATGACATAGTAGTTTTATATATTCTCCTTCTCAGTTTACATATCTAGCAAATAGAAATTGGTGAGCAATTTTCACATTATAGTAGCAAAAATTATAGTGGCTTCTCTAGATTTTTTAAAACTTTCCCTATCCTCTTATCATTGCCATAGAAAATGTAGGCTGACTCTTGGATTACATTTTATGTCTTTAATTACTACGAGGACAAAAAACAGAAAATGAAATTGTTCATCAAACAAATCACATTTGATTTGTCATACACAAAATATTTGTTATGAAATTTTCTTAAGTTAATAATATTTCAGTCAAATTCTTGGTTCCTTTTGAAGTTAAAGGAATTTTATATGCCTTATATTGGGCGTGTTACATCTTCATTAATGTTATCATTACAAATATTCTTTGATTTCTTACTGTATTTTATTTTGGTGCACAATATGAAATCAGACCCTTCGAGAACATTCTTCCTATGAAACCGACGTTTATGTTGGAAGTTTCAGGCGGAAC